ATTTCCATTTTTGGAGTTAGAGAAGGATCTACAAGGCCAATAAAAAGTTGTGGGACTAGGTGTCTTGCACTATACTACAAAGTATTTGTTATAAGAATGTCCAATTCGTTTTGAAAATAATTCTTTACATCAACAATATATTTTTTTTTAATTATTAGAATAATCACATAAATACACTCCTTTATTAACAATATATAATTATAGTAGTGGTATATTATAATAAACATAAAAAAATAATATGACAACTTCTTGCTGGGATGATATAAATGATTTTCTTGAACCATCTTATAATTATGAACTTGATGCTGAAAATGTTTCTTTGTTAAATAGAGATAAAATTAGTTCTTCAATTAAAAAAAAAAAGGTGGTAGAAGGCTTGATGATATCTGGGAATATGTGAATAAATGATAACCATTAGGTGGTGGTCACTATAAAGCATCATGCAAGTGGTGTGGAGGAGGGTGGACAAGAGGAAGACCACAAGACATGAAAGTGCATTTAGCAAGAATCTGTGAAGATGTCCCATAAAATATAGAAATCTTATGGCATAATTATTTAGCCAAAAACACTTCATCTAATACTAAAAATAAATGAACCCTAAATCAACTAACTATTACCAGTCATTTCCATTCTAATATTCCAATTTTGTCTGCAAAAGCCCATTTATTGGATCGAGCCATTCTAAAAGCTTAGTTTTGTTGTGGTTTTGCTTTCCATACCATAGAAAATCCTTTTATAATTGATTTATTTCAAATTGCTGCACCTGGGTACAATTTGCCATCCAGAGAAAAATTATCTGGATTTCTTTTGGAGTCAGAAGCTGCACAGATAGAATAAAAAGTTGAGTTTGAGCTTGATAATGAAGAAAATCTTACATTGAGTACATATTTATTTATAATTTAAAATAATGGGTTGTTATATCATGGATTATTAGAATTAAAAACCAACTTTTTCTTAAATATTAATTACAAATATTTTTTATTCATTATAATTAGGTCTTTACAGATGGACTTCTCCCACCCATGACTCAATATATAATTATGTAGTAACTATACCCAAATGTAAAGAATATTTAATTAAATTAAAAATTATAACACAGGCAGTCAAACTGGTGAGTTCATGGCAAATGAAATTTCAAGGGTAATTGAAAAGATTGGATTACATAAATTTGCTGCAGTGGTGATGGATTCTGGATCAAATCTAAGAGTAGCAAGAAGAATAATAAATGAATCATATTCACATGTTTTGAGTTTTCAATGTGCTGCACATGCAGCAAATTTAATAGCTTCAGATTTTTGTGAATTGGAGTCAATTAAACCAATTATTTCAAATTGTTCTATGATTTTAAAATTTTTTCAATCATCTCATATTGCACATGGTTATTATCAAGAACAGTTAAAGGCAATGAAAATCAAAGGTGGTGAAATTAAATCCTATGTGAAAACTAGATGGGATCTTTTTGCATGACAGTGGATTCAATAATAAGATCAAAACCTGTTTTTGGTTGGGTAAGGATTTTAATGATAATTCTGGAATTTATATTATTGTTAAATTCTTATATTAACTATTGTTGTTTTATAGATTCTTGATAATTATCCTTCTGTTATTTCAAATGATAATGTGTTCAATTATTTACAAAATGAGGATTTTTATATGAAGTGTCGACAAATTTTTTCCATTTTAAAACCAATAAAAGAATTAACAAATATTTTAGAAGCAAGATCTGCTAATCTAGCTGATTGTTTTATTGGCTTAGTTAAGCTTGCTGCTGCTATAAACCAAATAGATGGTATGAATCCCATGGAAACAAGAAATCACTATGAAATTTAATATAAGGTTTAATGAATTCACTAATTATTATTATATTATTTCATATTGGCTTCATTCTTTATATCATGGTCAGCATTTTTTTTGTATAAATATATATGTATATATATACTTTTTTATGTAATCGAAAATAACTTGTTTATTTTTTAGGCAAGGGCTTAAAAAATGATGTATTAGACAAGATATATGAAGCAGCAGCAAGTTTGTGGAAGGCTTTAGGTTATGATGAACATTCATGTATACAATTATTGACAGAGATGCATGCTTGGAAAAGACAGTCTCCACCATATCATTTGTCCTATAATAAAGAAAAGGAAAATCCAACTATGTGGTGGTTAAGTATTAATACAGATAAAAACAATGACCAATTGCAAGAATTAGCCTTACATCTTTATGCAATATCTCCATCTCAAGCAGTTTGTGAACATAACTTCTCTACATTAAAGTGGATTTATGGAGATTATTGAACCAAATTAAGTATTTACAAAGTTGAAGCAATGTGTAAAATTCATTCATATTATATTTCTAACTTGGATAAAGAATTAAAATATTATGGTAAAGGGTTGAATATTAATGAAATAAGGAATAATATATTTGATTCATCAGTTACTGATAATTTTTTTTGATGAAAGTGATTTTAATAATATTAATGATATAGAAAATGATGAAAATCAAAATATTAATAGTAATAGTAATTTAGAATTAGGTAATTTAATAAATTTAGGCTTACCAGAATTCAATTCAAATTTTAAGATCAGATATTATTAATGAACAATCAGAAAGTTTAAGAAATATAAATGTAGGAAATATGTCTTATGATCCAAGTGCTCTAGTAGAAATATTATGAACCAGGATGATTTGGAAAATAATTAAATAAATTGTTTAAAATTTTAACATGATTTTATTTGAATATATATATAGTAATAAAGATATAAATTTTTAAAAATTATAATAATAAAGTTTCGCCAGTTACCAATTTCCCAGTTGCGCCAATTTCACCAGTTGCACCAGTTGCAACAGTTACAGCAATTTCGACAAACATCCTTTGAGTTGTACCATTGGTGGAATAGTTTCACCAGTTACACCAGCCGTAACTACTCAATTTCACCAGCAACCTTATGTGGGACACCCCAGTACTATACGTACTGTACATATAGTGTTCAACTATACACCATTTGCCCATTTTTAAGCAAGATGTTGTTTTTCATTTACTTCTTTGTACATATGAATACCTTGTATGCTTTTATGACCTGTTGTTCAATTAATTCAGAATTCGTAATCTTATCAAGCAGCATAATATAATTATAATTCTTTAAATTTAGTAATTTAATTTCGAGTTGATTTTTAGTATTTGCAATAATAGCTTTTTGATGATAAAAATTGAGTTCTCATAAATTTCAAATGGTGCTTGTTGTGTGGAAATGGTATTTGAAATACTTTGAGTAATAGAATCAACTGGTAAAGTAGAAATCGAAGCCTCAGAAACTTTTTGGGAAAGGAGCAAACTTGCATTAGCAAAATAGGTTGAAATACTTTTTTGGGACCTTTTTGCTTTTTATTGTTGTGAATTTGATGCATTTTTATTAAATAAGAAATGTTTTAGGAAAGGATGCAAATGGTAAATTGTGATTTTTTATCATAAGTAAAAAAAAAAGACTTTATGTAAAATAAACTTTTTCATAGCAAAATAAAATTTTTTTCATAACGGGCGTTAATCTCCGTAAGATAAACCAGTTATTTCACAGATTCCCGTGAAATAACTATTATATAAATATATCAGTCATTTTGGATTTATGAACTGTAATAATATTTATTTGATTCCCGCACATTAAGTCACAAAATTTATAAAAAATTGAGGTCGGACGGTACACATCTCTAAAATCATACTGCGCGCAAATAAACTATCATGTTTGGATTGAGCATTCCGCACATTGATTTTAGACAATGCCTAGTTCTGCAACTTTTTATTGGTCTTGTAGGTCCTTTAGTAACATGAAAATCAAATCATAGTTTATGACCTTTCTCTACAAAGTTATGATTTCATTTTGTCATTGTTGAACCAATCAAATTGCAAGCTAACCTAATGAACAATTAGTGTGTAACATGACGAAACTCCGCCAATTGATTTCTGGAGGAGTTTTGGCGAATAACCATACCATCAATTAAAACTTTTGACAGTACATGATGTGCTAAAATATTACATTTTTCCTTAATAAAATCACTAAAATATTGATTGAATATATATATATACATATATCATCAATTGCTTCATTTGTATGACAATGCTTGCACAATTGGTTTTTTTTTGAACATTGACATGTATTTGTTTTATAATAAAAGGCGAGATTAAAGTATCATCTTTATTTCATACTCATCATCATTCATATTAACATATATGTCAGAATCAAATTCTTCCTCTGAACTTTCTATATTTTCAGTTTGAGCAGGTTGTAAAGATTGAAAATTGTTCTTTACTCTTTGCATGATGATTTAAGTAATCTTCATCCCAGCATCTATTAAGTACCACAAATCCAAATAACCTTCTTAGCATGAATAATATGGGCACAATATGAGTATTTTAAAAGTTGCTCTTTACAGAAGACATGGTAAAAATGATAATTTTATTCTATCTAATATAGTAATAGTTGACCCAATTTATTTGAAACATATGACCTTTCAAAAAATTAAAAAATTAACAGGAGGGAACACAAAATTTTAACCCATGCTATTTGTTGATTGACCAATTA